CGGGGCAGCTTACAACACAATAAAATACATTGAAATACAATAGAACATAATAAATTACCATTAAATGCAAAAATACAAAAAATACATTGAGTTACAAACATAATAATATAAAATTAAAATTATCAGTATAAAATAAGTAAATAAATAATATAGGAGGAGAAAAGAGAAGGAAGAAGAAGTTGCCCTGGCCAGATCATATATTTTAACAATTAAAATGATGCTTACTGTCCTTGGAGATGGTTGGAAATATCCACTGGCCCAAAATCCAGCTGCCTTGTTTTGACCAAAACTTGAAGACTGTTGTCCTCACAAATCCAATTTCACATTGTTCCCAGTGACTACCTACTTGTTTCTGGGTGCCACTAAGTGTTGATGTTGAAGTCTAAGGGCTAAGATAACTTAGGAAGAATTTAGGGTTCTGATAGCAATATATATTTGATGGAGTGCAAATAATCCAGCGTGGTATACTGACAAGAGCACTGCATGAATCTGTAGTAGATGACAGTTCTACTCATTTCCAGTCAGCTGTGTAGCTTGCTGGGTGGTCTTGGGCTGAATCCTGCCCTAATCCCAATATTTTTCCCAGGTTAAAATGGAGATAAGAAGAACCATGTAGACCACATTGTGTTCCTTGCAAAAGAAAATAGCTGGAAAGAACATATTTATACTACATACACTGAAAAGGAACTTCTATGAATCATTTGTACTCAAAGAAGCTAGTTCAGTCCTTCCTTAGCCAGGAAACATGTACACGATTCTTTCAACCATTGCTGACATAATCCTAGTTTCATACACCTGCTCATCTTTGTAGCTCTCCTCGGATCACATTCAAGATTTGTTCTATCTTTCTAATCACATCTTACCTAGTTTCGGTTGTGGTATTCCACCAGCAGTCTGTCTAAAGAGGGTTGAATTTCAGGAGTGCCTTTAAAAAAATCTGCAAGTCTGAGAAGGACACAGGGAAAGTATGTTCCATATGACTAAATTTTCCCTGTTCCCATTTGGGCTTCATCTGGGCAGTCCAGCCACAATTGCATGCTCTGCTTATACTTAAAAATTTGATTTTATTCAGAGTTCACTTTTCACACTGCAAGACTTTGCTTTATTTCTAGTGTGGTGACAAAGTTCTACCAACACATCCTCGCCTTGGTGTTTGCCATCCATGAGATTAATGAAAATCCCAAGATCCTGCCCGACATCACCCTCAGCTTCCAGGTCTATGACAGCTACTCTAACCCAAGGATGACCTACCAGGACAGTATGGACCTGCTCTTCAAATCACACCAAATGATTCCCAATGATAAATGTGGTACCCAAGGAAATTTTATTGGAATTATTGGGGGACTGAGTACTGACATCCCTTATCGCATGGCAGATCTCTTCCACCTTTACAAGGTCCCAGAGGTAGGTAGTTCGACTTAGTTGAGAGGGGACCCACTGTGCTAGCAGAAAAGGGTACTCCCCACTGCCTCCTTCCCACAGCAACCTGATTATACACTCCAAGCACAGAAGGAGATCCTACAGGATGGAGAAGAATCTCTCCCTCAATCTCACCATGGGACAGCACATGGTGCCACCCTCAAGGACTGCCCCAAGATGAAATTACATCCTGGTGAGGGGGATAGCAATTCTATGTACCAGAGTGACTCCCTTGCACCACCCCTCCAGCATACATTTCACATCAGGCTTCCCTTTCTTACTGGAATCATGAAAGGCTTCAAACCATTGCACATCAACTGTGCATTAAATAGCAGCACCACAAAACAGGAAGACTCAATGCAAGAGGCATCAGCTATCTTACAGCAGGGGAGGGGGAAAAGGAGAACAATGAATACAAATCTGTAATCTGGGATCCACTGGTTTTCTGACTGGCCTAATCTCCCAGGTCTTCTCCCCAAACCAATTGGAATTGAGATTCCAAACACAGATGCCCTGGAGTCAGAACGTTCTATGCACCCACTGATCACACAAAAATATTCAACAAGAAATTATATGTTATGGTACTGTGTAACCTATGGGGGGTGTTCTGGATGGATTTCAATAGAGAAAATGATACCTTTCAAAGGTGTGCTCAGGCTGAACTAATCCTGAATTATTACTTGCTTGTCTTTTGTTCATGATTCATTCTTCCTTCCCTCAATTTTCATACAGATCATTTGAAACAGCAGAAAGTGATGAATCTGATTAGCCCTAATTTTACCGCATGGCCACCAGTGAAGCTCTTCAATACCAGGGAATTGTCCGGCTACTTCAACATTTCCACTGGAAATGGGTTGGCCTCATCACAATGGATGACGAACGTGGAGAGCGTTTCTTGCACACTATGGAGCCACTGCTTTCCCAGAATGGAATCTGTTCAGAATTCACAGAAAGACTCCAAGCCAATTGGCAGTTCTCTGGGATGGCGAGCGTTCTCAATGAAACATTGAGCCATGTTCCCATTTTCATGAAGA